TCAAAATATATAAGAGAAAAAGAATGCACGTATGCACTGTAAGACAACAAAAAGCAATGACCAGTTATAGTCAAAAGCTTAGACAATTACAATATGTATAAACAATAAGAAGAATCATGTATAAAAAATATTATTTTTGATCCTCTTTGCTTTTTCTTCTTTTTCCCCTTATTTATTTTTCGGTTTTCTTATTCTTCATCTTTTCATTTCTACTTCTTCTTTCTCTTCTGATATGTCTTCTTCCTCGTTTTCTCCTTCTTTGTTCGATTCTTCTTCATATTCTTTATCTTTCAGTTTTTTCTTCTTCGTATTTTCCTTTTTATTTTTCATTGTGTTTGATCAATTTTTCCTGTGACTTTTTTTCCGGGTATTATTCGTATTCTTCTTTCTTATCCCATTTCAGTGTATTTTCCTCCTTTCTCTTTGAATTTTTCTTCTTTATCTTTTCCATCGAATTCATTTTTTTATTTTTCCTCTTATTCATCATTCGGAGTTTTTTCTTCCTCGTTTTTTCCTTCTTCTTCTCCATCGTTTTTGACTTCTACTTCTACTTCTTCTTGTTACATATCTTTCAATCTTTTTATCCCTCATCCTTTTCTTCTTCATCGTCTATGTCTTCCCGACTTTATATTTTGATTTTTCCTCACATTTTCTTTGTTTCCCAATTTTTATTGTATTCATCTTTTCAGAATAATTATTATTCTGATACATATTTTCTCTTGTGTCCATATTCTGATTTGTTTAGATTTTTCTTCATCTTTTCTTTGTTTCTCAGTCTTCATTGTATTTGTCTTTTCAGAATGATTATTATTCTGATTCATATTTTCTCTTGTCTCCATATTCTGATTTGTTTACTTGCACGGACAATGGTTTCATCTCTCTCTCTATGTCTCTCTCTCCCACCCTCTCCTCCTCTTTTTGTATCTCCTTCACTCCCCCTCTTTAAATTAATGATAAATTCTACAATATAGCTTTAGCCTTATCTCCTCAACTTCTCCTTCTCTCTTTTGTTCTCTTCGTTACCTTTAAGCCTTTCGTCATCTCTTTTTCCACTTTTTTATATCAATCACACATTTCTTTGCCACCCAACTATCTTTCCTCGTTTCATCCATTGTTTTCTTTAGCTTCCGTGTTTTCCTCATGCATTTCAATCAGGGGTTCAGACTCGTTTTAGTATTGTCGAATTCAATGTGTGAGGGCTCGATCAATCTCTGTTGGCTCGTGTTCAAGGAAACCAGTGAACTTCAGAAACACATAACAATCTGATTTGAGTTTTTTTTTTTAACATAGAAACCTATTCGAGATTTCATCTCATTCTTTAACTCTTATTAGAAGATACAATATGAGCTTTGTCTTGGGTTTTAGAGAAGCAATCAAAGGATGGACTGTTTTAGAATTAAATTTGATTCAAAACTAAATTTTTAAAGCAACAGAGAGTTATACGACACAAGAATTACTTGTTACACATCAAAACATATGAGAAATGCAACGTGTGAGTATGTTCATTCTTCAATTCACAAGAATTTCAGTCATCTATGTTTCTTAGATTCTAGTGTCAGAGAATCATCAATTTATTCAGTACTCCGATGAAGCCTGAAACACTAAAAATTTAGTTCCAGCAAGCTGAAACACATTACAAAGATGATGAAAATTACGACCGGAATATTTCTCTAGCAAACATTCTTTTTCCTCTGTATTGGTGACTCTCCTTCCTTCAGCTGGTTTTATCTCTCACCAGGGGTTGAAAAAAAAACCAATGAGTTCAGTAACAAACGATGAAACTAAGAAGTGGGTCAGGGATTAACTATAATATAATTCAACACCAATTCGATGGTGCCATTTGCAATTGGTTTGCACTCTGTTCTTAATACGATTGTTGTATATCAACACAAGAACTTGACATGCATAAATATTCTAATCACACCGAATCTAGTCTCGTTGTCACCTGTTTTTCCTTTGCTCTTTGAAGTTATAAGACATCACATTCCCGTTCATCGACTTACCAACAAAGATATTGCTGTAATGCCTGATAGGTGTAGTCTTAAGAGTAATTTAATATTTTTCTGATAAAAGAATGTGTTGGGTAAAAATCAAAACTATAAAACATTTTTTTCTTGAAACAACATAATTGTCTTTGGGCAGAAAACAATAGGAAAATTATAAAACAATAGACCTTGTTTTGTTCATGTTACATATCTTTAGTAAACTATGAAACCAAAACTAATCCGAACTGGTTACTCTTTTTTTGCTTAAAGATCTATGTCCACACAAGCTACCACGAAAATAAACCATAAATTAAATTTAGAAATAAAAATAAACATAAACAACAATATAAAGAAAATATATAGTAGAATCTAAGAAGAAACAAAAAACAATCAAACAATCAAACAATAAATAACATCCATTCACAAATAGATTACCAGAAAAAATTAATACGAACCTAAACTAAAACATGAATTATACACACACAAAAAAAAATCTTTTTATGGTTTTGATCCTTCTAAGAAGATCAAAATAATAAATTAAAGAGTTTACGATATTTATTAAGCAAATTAAAAGTTTTAATAATTTTTTGATCCAAAAAAAGAAGTACTAATGATTTATTTACAATTACCAGTTAGATTCATTTGAAGATATGATTGCAAAAGTTTGAACCAATCACCTATAGTTTGCGGGATGAACTCTAGATTGAAGAAAAACATTAAAGAAGCTCAAGTCAATCTATATTTACGAACAATAATTCAAATATATCTATAGGAAAACTTAATAAAGAGGAACACGATTAAAATTACAAAGCAAAACAAAAAACATAATTATGATATCTCTATGACCAATCACATAGAGAGTAAAACAGGGGTTAAAAAATAAGATAACTATGATGCATAGTAATATAGAACACGATAGAGAAAAAGCATATATATTTGACCGGTTAGCATAGAAGAATCCCGATCGGAACAAAACGATTAAAAGGTTAGCATGGAAGAACAACCAACTAAACAAATGATATAATTAAACCAGATTGAGATATACAAAAGATGTATTCGTGAAAAAGAGGTGGATGAGTTTTTGTAAAAGTTGCTAGATCTTAGAAGACGGTTGTTATATGTAAAAATATGTGTAGGTGATATGGGTATATATTGTAGAATAGATGATTTAAGTTTTAGGTTTTCGACGTCGGTGCCCCATTACTAGAATCGGGGGCTATGAATGAAAACAAAATCGGTGGCCCATGGACAAACTCGTTGGCTCATTATCGAAGAAAAAAGCCATATCACCAGTTTTTACACGTAGAATTAATGATCAACCTATCAAAACAAATTAAAACGACACATAATATTTTTTCATTAATGCCACATAGGACAATTGCTCTGAAAACAATACCTAAGATTTTTGACCACGCAAATAATAGTATAAATAAATGTGTGTATTATATTATGCTTCCTTCTTACGATCGAATATGTAACATGAATTCTGGAGATCTCTAAATCATTACAAGCTCTGATCAGTCAAATACGATTGACTCTATCACATGTCTTAAAGAATACAAGATCTTCTAAATGACTATATTTGATTTTGCTGTTGAAAGAAAACATATATCACCACCAATGGAGGATAATGTAAGAAAGCATCACGGAACAAACATTGTTTATGTAAGTAAAAGTCAACTAACACTCCTCAAAACATTCAAAAAAAAAAGACGAGAGAAAAAGGAAGTTCATGGGTTAGCATGGTGTGCAACTAGCCAAGAAACGAAGCTCAGTCTCTTTGTTTTCCCATTCAATACCTTCCAATTACTTGTTTTCTCCGTATTTCAAGACAAGCTCTACACCAGCAGCTGCACCTTTAGTATCCAATAGAAGCCTTTTCAGGTTTGTACAACGTTCATGTACGGCGAGCTTGCTCAGACGTGGAAAAGATAGAGGTCTCCAGTAGATGCTTTTAAGCTTAGGTAGATGAGACAAGCTAAGACATTCTAGTTTTTGAAACGGAATGATTATGATACTTGCATTTTCATCAGTGAACCTCGCGGCTTTTTCTTCACTTATGCTATCTTCTAGTTGCTCCGCGAAAGGAACATCGAGATAAGTAAGGTTTGGAGCAAACAATAGCCATGTCAAATCCTTTAGACCATCGCATTGTCCTATAACAACTTTGGACAGGTTGGAGTAGAATGGAGTTCTGGGATTTGTGTCCCATGATGATGTTCTCACTGCTCCTGTCTATCTTTATCTCCTTCATTCCACACTTCCATATGCTGATACGACGGATATTACATACATGTTTGGAAAATTTAATATTTCGAAATGATTATTCCTCAACCTCTATATATAACCTCCACATATTGAATAGAATTCGCCAACCTTTGAGAGCATAACAACTCCTCCAAAACCAACCTTAAGAAGATTCTATGGTTAGAACTTCTAAATGCTCCAAGAGCTTCAGCTCCTAATTTGCTGAGTTCACTCTAAAGACTTTTTGGACTTTTGCTTTTGTTGTCTCAGTGTCCATAAACTCGACAAGTTAGATATCGTGGAAATACTCTCTAGTCTCTTCAAGTTCAGATGTATTAGTCTTTTCAACTCTTTTAAACCAACAGGCAACCGTTCTATGTTCGGATATAACAAGTCAAGATACCGAAAAGAGACTAACTCTGATATTTGCTTCGCTAATCCAGTATGTATATCCAATACCACAAGGTTAGGCATAAACCGGAAGAACTCTCCTGAAATATTTACCATTTTGTGGTTTTTATGGAGGAGAGTTGTAAGTTAAGGACATATGAGGCCACCATATATCTTTTCAAGATCATTTTACATCATCAACATCTTCTCAATAGCATACGTGTACCACACGTAACCCAACACCGACTCGCACAATGCATTGATAAGATGATATATTGATATCCATAGAGCCATCTCAAGGACAACATCATACATTTTCACTTCTGGCTTTTGCCATCCTTTTTCCAACAATTTTTTTTTTGTCAACGTCTAATAAATTTACGAAGATCCAAACTTAAAACTTCTAACGTCATCAACCACTGCCTTCTTAAACAAAGGCACGTCAGTAGCTCCAAGTATCATGTGATATCCACGTAACCTCAGATCCACCGGTTTGTCCTCAGCCGTGGCCATCCCGGCCAAGTAAGCTCCGCCATTGGCCGGATCGGAAGCTAGCACCGCCGTCTCAGCCGTCCTCATGACAGACTTCACCTTCGGGTTTCCTGGATCATGGAGGAGCCCCATACTCGCGCTTAGATCCCTTGGCCCCATCATCACGCAATCCATCCCATCAACGGCTACAATGTCCTTCACGTTCTTCACACCTTCCTCCGATTCTATCTGGATGAAATAGACGTTTATATCAGCAAACAATCCGATATACTATGGACTTGAATGGTATGTATCATTTTTTTATGTTTTTACGTTTTCAAAACGTGATTCCACCAAGTACATACCAGTCAAGCCCTATATTTCTAAATTTCTAGCTACTCAAATAAAACTGCAAGACCTGGCACATGATCAGAAGCTGATCGGAGTAACTACGTAAATACTCCTCGTCAAAACCGAACTTGGAATCTCTCACGATCGTGTAAGCACATCCACGGAGTCCCTTAGGTCGGTACCGGCAGTACGAGACAGCATCGGAAGCTGCTTTTCCGGTCTCTATCATCGGAAACATAATGCCGGCCGGGCCAAGATCAAGAGCCTTCTTGGTCCATGCTTGACAATTATCTGGAACACGGAGTACTGTGGAAGATCCTGCTGCCTCAACAGCGCGTATACAGTGTAGCGCTTCCCGAATACCGCCGGCACCGTGCTCAAGGTCAATGACTATGAAGTCGTAGCCGGCGAATGCAGCTACCTCCGCCATCTCCGGCGAGAATGAAAGGAGAAATAAGCCATAGAGATTTTCTCCTTCTCTCAGGCGTGTTTTCAGAGATCTCTGAGATGAGAAAAAGGCCTTCGAGGGTATTAATGAGTTAGTTGGTAATGGTTGTACACTATGAAGCATCGAAGTCCGATACAGATTTGGAATCATGGACGTGTACGGGAAGCGCTTGTAAAACCGGGAAAACATTTTTCCAAGAGGAATGAAAAAGAGACAAAGAATATTACTTCAGAAAATTTGTCCAAAAAAAGCAGGAGAGAAAGAAGACAATGTAGGTGCGGCTGTATGTTAGATAAATAGGGTTGTTTTACTACTTGAATGAATGGGCAATTGGATTTAGGGTTTGGTTCCATTTCAGTTTTCTCGGTTTCATGGTTGACGAGCTTTATAAAAATCAAACCATATATATTTTTGTTTGGCACAGTTCGATTTTCTCTGGTTATGGTTTACCGATTTTATATTTAAAACAAAAATCATATAAAAAATCATATTTTGGTTTGTTTTTATTTGCTTTCGGTTTTCTTTTCAATTTGGTTTAGTTTGATTCCATAACATCCAATCATGGTAGATAAAACTTAAAAAACAAAAAAAAAATCCAGAAAACAACACAACTTCTTAAAACGACTTTGAATGAAAAAAAAAGTTAAATAGATGTAATCAATTTTTAATTCCACATTATATCATATGAGGAAATACAGAAAAAGCGTACAAATACAAGTTGTTTTTTATGGTAATACAATATTTCGACGGAATTAAAATGCAAGATACAGTATGTGTAATTGTGTATTTTGGGATTTTGAAAGTTGTTCTTTACCGGACAATTTCGATATCTTTCATACATTCTTCTAAACATCAAAATTTACCTAAAAATGCATTTTAGTGGTGAGACCAAAATGTTTGCTATTAGCGAGCGTTGATCACTCCAAAAATTTTATTGTGGAAGAGTGTTTTGGTTAATTTATATTTATAACAGCATCACATTGTTTTCCCCATCTCAGCTTGCTAACCTTATTAAAGGAACAAAAAATTAATTCGGAATAAATAATGAAAATTTCAACAAGTCAGGTTACTTTTTCCTTATTGAAAAAAAATAATGGAATCCGGAAAATTCGAGCGATGGAGGTGATGATTCCTCTCTATTCTCAGGGATTCAAGCCAAAATCAAGACAATCCGAATGATTATTTCACCATGGACCTGCAGTAATAAACCAAGTTTCATAATCTTTCAATCTCTACTACGTAGTCATAACTAGGATGACTTGGCCACCAATCTTCGACTTGCATAGAAGGCATGGAAGAAAAGTCTTCTTCGCAGGTGGAACCATACCACTACCATGCCATCAGTGGCGGAGTTAGAAGTATTTTTGACTGAGGGCAAAAACAATCTTCTTATATATAAAACTTGACCAACTTTCTCCAGCTGATCGCCATATCAGCATGGGAGAAATTGATACATGTCCACTTATATATAAATTTAATATTAATTAATATTACATTAATAATCATTTATAATAATAAATTTAATTATTATTAGTTACCTGATGATATTAATATTAACATCACTTATTTGTAACTGATATAATTATTATATTAATTAAAATTATTTATTATAAACGAGATAAATTATAATATCATTTATTTTAATTGAGATAAATGTTAAATATTCGCATCAATTACTATAAATGATTAAAGTATTTACATCAATCGGTAAAAATACTGCAAAATATTAAAGTCACCACTTCTAGAGTTAGTTTTATAAATGATGCAAAGTTCAAATAATATAAACAAATATAATAAATGATACAACACACCTTAATTGTTGTAGTGTAAGTTTTTAACTATTTAAAAATTATTTTTTATTATTAATTGACACTTCAATAATATTTATGTAAATGTTAAATAAAAATTTATGTTATAATTAATTAAAATTATTAATGAATATTTATTTTATTTTTATAGAACTCTAGATTACTTAATAATATTCAATATATATTTTAAACTGATATGATTTTTTATAATAATATATTAATAAATAATGATTATATTTACTTTTATGAAAATTTAAATTTGAAATAGTTGAAAAGAAAAAACCCGCACGTAATGTGCGGGTATTCACCTAGTTATGCTAAAACATTATCAAATGATGAGGGAAAATATATTATGTGGTGTGGGGGCAATAATTATTTTTCTTATTAATTTACACTAATTATTTTTTTTATTGGGGGCACCTGCCCCCATAGTATATTGTGAAATATTTATTTTTTTGTTTCTTAATTTTTTTTGGTATACAACTGAGAAATAAAAACTAACTTTGCAACCTAGAAACTAATATATTAAGATAATTTACTTAATTTTTTGTATAAAAGTTTTCTTGGCTTTTAAGTAGTAATAAATTTAGATCTCTTTTGCATTGTATAATAACTCAATAATGGAAAAAGAAAAAAAAAATCTAAATATAGGCCTTGCTTGGCATGGCTTTTATGACTTTTAGACTTATTTTACAGTTTTAAAAGTCATATATATTTTTGCCAAACAATTCTTTTTTTAATTAGTTTCAAAGTCTTTAAAACCAAACTTTTTGGGTTTGGTCATAAATTCTAAAAGTCTTTCTCAGAAATACTTTTAATTTCGTTATCTAATTTTTTCTTTCCCAGAATTATTCAAATGACTTTGCAGATTTATATATAAGTAATTACAAACTAAATTTAATTGATTAAATTTTATTTTTTCTGCTTTCTTTTGAGATCTATTTCTTAAAAAAAAAAAAAAAATTTGTAATGTAAAAGTTAGCAGTTAGTTTCTACAGTTTTATCACCAAATATTTTTTATTTTATTTTTTTTAATATATAAGCAAAAGTTTTTACAGCAGAAGTTTTTACAGTTAAAAGACTACATAGATAAATCGATTAACTCGTACTCGGTTATCACTTTATCATGAAAATAGAAACAAATATATAAAATGTAACTAAAACTAGTATTATCGCCCACATTTCCTTCAAATTATTTTTTTTCTTTAGTTTTACACTTTCACTTAATCTCAGTACACCTAGCTGGCAGAAAATTTAAGTAATAGCGGTAGTAAAATGGTGATAGAGGAGGAATACCTAAGAGCTGGAAAGAAAATCATCACTAAGGTTTTATATGGGATAAACTGTATAGAGGGTTGAATCACGGCTATTACCTTTATATCCATAAACCTGACGTGTATTACCTCTTCCAGGTATGTCAATGTCGATCTCAAATCTCTTTTTGTGATTGATCATTCGCATAACCTGTCTTACTGCCACCATTCCTTTCGAGCTCACCAAGTTGAAATTGACAAGCTTGGATCTTTCCTATAATTGAATTCATGGGATAGTACCACAATTTGGGACAATATTTCAAAACACTGAAGGGAATCCGGAGATTGAGACAAACCGCATGTTTCTTCACAAATAGGTAACACAAAAGAAAAAAACTTTTTGCACCGTTCCTATCTGAATTACCCAAACCAACTTATTACCTAAAAATCCTGTCTTATAATGTATTGGATATACTTTGGATATTGTAATAATTGAAAATTTAAAATAATTAAAGATCGACAAAGATAAGTAAACAATAAGAAAAATAGAAGCAAAAAATAAGAAAAAAGCAAAAAATAAAATAAAAAATAAAACAAATGAAAGAAATAGAAATACATGTTCAATATATGCATGTTTTGGTTGATTCTTCAGATGGCTCCCCTTCAATGCTGCAAGTTATTTTATAACTCTATGTTGTAAAAAAAATTGTACATTAAGAATTATTACTATTGGATAATTAGTATTCATGACATTTACTCAGCCATAATTGTAGAGTTATTTTACAATATTAATAGTGATGACATTTAGATAGCCATATTTGTACTATTTGAATATTTACAAAACGCAAATCCATTATCACTAATTTCACTAAAAATTACAGTATATATTTTTGTTGGGTTTACAATATTAAATGAATTTATTGTTATCATGAAAACATAAACTTTGATATAAATATGAAGGCAGACTCCCTACTACCCATCATATTTCAAGTTTCTCATTATTTTGTAATTTCATATAGCTAATGGTGCCTCAATCTTTTTGTTGTGTTATTTTGGACAGATTCTGAAGTAACTTAAATTCAAAAGAACTTTTACTGAATAACATCAACTGTATTTTAGTTTTGCATCATGATTACAGAGTACATATTTATTTATACAAGAGTTTGTGGATAATATAAATTTAATATGGTGTTCCAAAATGTTTATTATGGTATTTTTACAGTTTTAAGAAACAAATGTAGATTTGATAGTTCAACGCCATTACCTCGTAAAATATTAAATACTAGGTGGTCGTCCGCGCCAAGCGCGGACATGATATTTTTAAAATTTAATAAAGAAAACACTTTTAGTTTATGACACAAACTAACATAATATTCAATTATATAATTATTCTACTTGAATACAGGGTTATAAAAATGATTATTATATATTATTAAAACCAAATCCTTCATAAATATATAATAATTTTATAAATAGATAAAACAATCCAAAAAAACTAAACACAAACCAAATAAAAATATTTTATAAAATAACAAAAACATCATTTATAACATATATAAGAATACAACGATATCACTATCAGGCATTTCTAATTTAAGAAGTTTTTGCACAGGATGACAAAAAAAAAAAAAAGTTTTTGCACATTTGTCTATATTCCTTATCTTCTCTCAAATCATGAAATTTTGATTAGAAAGAAAAAAATATACTACAACTGAATTTAAATGACTGTTATTATTAAATCAGAAGAAAGCCTACATTTTATGTTAACTATACTAATTAATATGTTTTTTTTGAAAATTTGAAAAATGATCTAATTTAAAATGCTGAAAAATGAATTAATATTTGAGGTATCTTATTTGATTTTGTATTGGTCTTAAAAGTGGATTTAGTTTGAACATTGATGTATACATTTCCTCTAATCTTGTATAGCTATTTGGACGATATTGTTTTCGTTTAGAAGAAAACAGTAATATTATTTTTTTCAGGTGTGTGAATATCCATTATTCGTTATTATGTGCTTTCTCTTTTTTATCTTTAGATTATTCCTTGTATTTTTGTTCTTTTATTCGTTGTCATTAGATTTTTATTTCACCATCCTCAACATTCCCAACTACTTTTTCTTGTTTTT